AAGTCGGTTTTAAGTGTCTGATTTCTTCCTCTGCCTGTATAATTCTCAGTGCAAACAAGCAAGACAGCGCCTTCGTGCTATATATAATGTATATAAGACCTCCGATGCATCTACTCTGCCAGCTAGTTATGCACAAGCCAAGCAAGTTTACAAACGCACACAGAAAATTGCCAAACGTGAGTGGCAACACAATCGTTGGCAGGCTTTGATTACTGCTTCAAAACCACACAGATCCAGGGAATTCTGGTCTTTGATTAACAGAAGGGGGAGGAAATACCCAAGGGCAGTCATCCCTGCACCGACATGGGAATTGTTCCTGAAGAAATGTTTCTCACAGGCAGATGCTCCCTCCGACCATCTGAGGCATCTGTTTACCCACCTACCTATTTGGCCTCCCTCCGATCCTGACGAAATAGCCAAGCTAATAGCTCAGCTGAAACCGGGCAAAGCCCCAGGGCCCGACCTGATCCCTGCTGAAGCCATCAAACTACACCCAAAATGGTGGGCTGGCATCTTGGCCAAAACCTTCGATGTAATCAACGCTTCCGGTCTCATCCCCAAAATATGGAAGGAGGCCATTATAGTGCCAATTCATAAGAAAGGTTCTCCAATGGAGCCGGAAAACTACCGTAACATCAGCCTCCTTTCGATCATAGGGAAAATTTATGCCAGCTTTTTGCTGACTAAATTATTGCGATGGGTAGATGAGACTAACCAGATTGGCCACGAACAAGCAGGGTTCAGAATTAAACGTTCTACAACCGATCATGCGATAGTTCTTTATCATCTGGCATGGAAGTACTCCTCCCCTCCCCGGGGCTACCTCTGTGCTGCCTTCTTAGATCTAAAGGCAGCCTTTGACAGCGTTCCTAGAAATATTCTTTGGGAGAAACTTGCGAAACAGGGCATTGATAGAAGACTCTTATGGCTTATAAGTCAGCTCCACGAAGGTACCCTTGCCAGAGTGAGACTTACTCCTGCGGGCGACCTCACAAATTCGATACCAATAAACAAGGGAGTGCGCCAAGGATATATATTGGCTCCCTGCCTATTCAACCTATTCATCAGCGACATGCGAGCACCCCTAGTTAACTCATCTCCAAGTACACACGCGCCTAGACTAGCGGATTACCGCTGCCCACTCCTTTTATATGCGGACGACGCGGTACTTCTATCTTATACACGCGTTGGACTAACCAGAGCTCTGAAGATCTTTGCCACGTATTGTCAACTCAACCAATTAGCCATCAACCATGTTAAATCCAAGATTCTGATTTTCTCCAGAAGCCGGAGATTATACGATTGGAAGCTTGGTGGAGCAAAAATAGAGCAAGTCCTAAAATTTCAATACCTTGGAGTTATTTTTCAATACAATTTGGGGTGGAAAGCTCAAATTCAACACCTACTTAACAAGGCCAAAACTCTGTCATATGCGCTCCTCCGATTTTTCTTTTCGGATGGAGCTTTGCATGTTCCCTCGGCCCTAAAGGTGTTCAAGGCAAAAGTGGTTGCCGTGCTTGCTTATGCTGCCCCACTCTGGGCCGTGATGACAGATCTTGCTCCCCTTGAGACTCTGCAAAACCAATTCCTACGTCGGCTCCTAATGCTCCCCCTGTGCGTAAGCAACGCAGCCATGCGACTAGAATTGAAGATCGCATCCTTAGAAACTTGCCTGTGGAAGCAAGTCTTCAACTATTGGTTATCATTGTGGCATAGATTACCAAACCATTACCTTGTCCAATGCTTATGGCGAGATGAATTCTCTAGCCTTTGGATTAGTAGAATTCATGCCAAACTCCTGAGTTATGGAATCTCTCCCTCAGATTCCCTAAAACTAGACCAAATCACTGCTCAAAGACTGATCCGCCGAAGACTGGATGACATCGACTTACAGCGAAATTATACGCTGGGGGGAGGTGTTTGTTCGCCTCAGAACATTGGTATCACTTTAACTTACTGCGTTCCATCATACCTCTCCTCCCTTTCGACTGTTGCCCATAGACTGGCCTTCACCAAAGCGAGGTTTAACGTTTTTCCCTCCAATGTCCTGAGACATAGATTCTCAAAGGGCCAAGCCTCCGCCATGTGCGAATGTGATAAGGAGACGCCGGAGTCGCTCCAGCACATTATGTTCACTTGCCCCTTGTTCAATGTGCCACGGGCAAATTTGTTGGGATCAATCATACAGAAACTAGAGAGTACCCCACCAAAATTCCACCTTGCCCAAATCTTGCAGGATAAGGATACCCACACGACCCTGAAAGTGGCTAGGTTCCTGGTCGCTGTCCTTACCCAAAAGCGACGCCAAGGAGCACTCCAAGCTAATTAAGGCGTAGTATGCCATTCCATCTTATAGTATTTTATTGTTATAGTGGTGTTTTAGCGGCTGTTTTTTCTCACGTGCACAAGCTGTTATTTATGTGTTGTTTTTACTTGTATGGGCCTATGGCCGTAATAAAATTTTATGTTATGTTATGTTATGTTCCTCTGCCTGTAAGACAGAGTTGTTCTGCCTGGCCTCTGGCTTGGAAGCAACTTGATCCCCTCCCCCTCTTTCCTTTTTCCTTCTGTGATGGAACTCCTATTTGGGGACTTCCCTGGCTTTTTTTTGGCCCACGTAGGACCAGTCTGAATAGTTATCCTTGGTGAAGATTTGACATTTTCATCCCCCAAAAGTTTTTTGTTTGAGTTTGTATTGAAATGAGGCTGCATTTTAATGTTGTATTTTAATCTTGTTTTTAAGTTGTATCTTAATCAACTGTTTTATATCTGATGTTAGCCGCCCTGAGCCCAGTCTTGGCTGGGGAGGGCGGGGTATAAATAAAATTTATTTATTACTATTATTATTATATTATTATTATTATTAGTGTAAGTATTGTTTGCAGAGTACAGGTTGGAAAGCACATTAGCTTCTGAGAAAACTGTGGTTGGCATATGTATATACAATTTTACTAAGCTTCCTCTACTGCTACTCGGACAGAACTACATTAGCAGCTATTCTGCAAGTTCCAAAGCCACATCACAGAGTTTCTGAGAAATCCCCTCAATTTCCAAAGCAGTTTGTCATATAAGGCTCCCATCCTCAAGCCCCAAGACCACGGTGGATGCAGAACAAGTTGCATGATTTTTCCAGAGTCTAACAATACGTTGGAGAGGAGAATTAAGTATCAATGTATGCTTAAGAAGCTTAACTTTGGCATAACCTGTGGTTTTGAAGTTTCCATTTTGTGCAAAAGAACGTATGGCCACTCAGTCAAAATTTGCATTGTATGTTTTAATGAATGGGAGCTCACTCTGTACCTAGAAATACACCTTGTCTAACACAGGCTAGTTAGGTTTATTTCCCTCAATCTGAAGAATTCAGATCTCCCTCTATTTTAAGAATTGAATGGGGCATTTCTGAGGTGCGGAATTCATGCTCTCCTCTTTCCCACCTCCATGCTGCTTTTCAAAAAGGTGAAGCATATGTAAGAATAGTCAGCAGGACCAGGATAATGGCCCATCTAGTCCAGCATCCTGTTCTCACAGTGGCCAACCAGATGTCTATGGGAAACCAAGGAGCAGAACATGAGCACAAGAGAAGTCTCTCCTCCCATGATTTCCCAGGAACTGGAATTCGGAAGCATTGCTGCCTCCATATGTGGAGACAGAGAATAGCCACTATGCCTTGTAGCTGTCAGTTTGCATTTCTTGGTGCAGAAAGTATTGACCTGATGTGTAGAGATCTTTCCTATTCTACTTAATTCTAGAGGGTTCTGAAAGCAGGTGGTTAATGATGTTTGGGTTATACTTCTTGAGAAGCTGAGTACAGTCATACCTCGTGTTGTGTTTGCTTCATGATACATTTTGTCAGGTTGCGTTCCGCCGCAACCCGGAAGTACCGGAAAGGGTTACTTCTGGGTTTCACCGCTCGCTCATGCGCAGACACGCAAAATGACGTCACGCGCATGCGCAGCGCACGCACAGATGCCGCTTGCATTCTGCTCATGTTGCGAACAGGACTCTGGAATAGATCCCGTTCGCAACCAGAGGTACCACTGTACAGCTGGTTTAAACTGGTTCTCTTATCTCTTCTGTCAAAATCATGCTGACTATAAAAGTACGGCCAGAAGGAGCCTGGGTTTCACTTTATCTCTTTTCCTTCTGGTGTGGTGTTCTGTACATAGTATGCTATAATGTTAAGGTTTAGACTTACTACAAGTTATTGTAAGTTTAAGTTAAGTACGCTGCAACTGGATTTCTTATGGACAGTGCCAATCCTGAATGTATATGATTTGTGACCATTATGCTCATTTGCCTTCAGTAGCAGTAAAGCTCTGCTGGAAGAAATACAATTGCCTCTGATCTATTTTGGGGGAATCCTGGAACATCTTAAAGTTTTTACTCTGCTAACTATACATTGGAATCTACTCTAGATCAATATTGAGTAGAATTTCATGACAGTAGCCACTGATAGTCCTCTTCTCCATAAATTTGTCTAATCCTCTTTTAAAGCCACCCATGTTGGTGGCCATCACTGTCTCTGCAGGAGCAAATTCCATAATTCATCTGTCCTAAGTTCAGCTTCATTGAATGTCCACAATTTCTAGTGTTATGAAAAAAACTTTTCTGCAACGCTACATCCCCTTCTACATTTTGGTGGCCTTTTCCTGAAGTGACAGGCCAGACACCTTAATTATACCCGAGATTAAAGAAAAATGAAAACCCGAGATCTGTGAATTAAAAATATACCTTTATTTATAAGACAGACTTACATCTCCTTCCATAGGAACCAACACTTTAAGATCAATGCTAAGACCATAACAACAAGGCAATGCAAGAACCAAAAACATCTTGCAACTTCAAAACAATTCTGGCATCTGCATCAGTGCAACATCCACCCATACAAATGGCGGCCATTTAACACCAGAAGGTTAACAGCGGTTTTAAGTGCATTGTGAGTTTACAATGGTCCTAATAGCAACAAGACAGAAGTTCAGTAGCTGGTATAGAGAAATGGGCCATTGTTAGCTATTTAAAATTCAGTCTTCTGCAACTTATCAGGCAACAGAGACACCCCTTTCTCTGCAATACTCCCCGCCCAAGTCTATTAGTCTTTCTGAAATATATGCCATGTACATAGAAGTTTGCCCCCCCCAATAATAGCATTTGAAGGAAATCAGGAGTGTCACCTGTAGAAGCTTCCAAGATCACCCCCTTTTTATTGCATATTAGCAAAATGCTAAACTAGCACAGACGCAGAAACAAAAATTCCTGTGGCATTAGACAATGCTGCCTACTATTCCCACTACAACAGTCTTTTCTCAATATCCCCGTTTCTCAGTGTTTATGTATGGTAGGATCTGGTCCCTCATGAAGTGCTTTTTCCAAAGAAAGCCACGAATCCTGGTATGTTAACATGGCCCATCTGCATGAACAGTGCTTAAATCTCAGTGCTGTGAGCTATAGGAGTTTAAAGCCAAGAGGCATTAAAGAAAGACATTCAGTGCAATACCTTTGCTTGACACAAGCAGCCAATTTCATTCAATGGGGGCTAAAAGAGTGGCAAACCTCACCCCATCCACCCTCAATGTGATTACTGGGTTTCTGAAAGGACAGTAATGGGCAACTTAATAGCTGGAGCCCCGGCAAGAGACAAAAGCTGAAGGTTTGGCATGACCAAGATGAAAGACCTCCATCTTAGCACTTTCAAGGGAAATAAGCCTTTCATAGCCTTAAAATTAATAAGGAACATTTTCCTAATGCTGCTGAAGTAGGGGAACATCCTTGGCAAAAGGATTATGGAGACTAGGAAACACACATATATGTTGCTCTTTGGATCATAGATGGCTCATGTCTGGAGTACACATGGGTGGCAAGTCAGCAAAAATAAAAAATAAATCTTCAGCTGGCCTCTCTTGCTCCCATGGCCATGTAGATTTCCCCTTAGCTAAGCCAAGAAACTCTAAGAGGGAAACAACAGTGAACATCAGATTGGGTACTCCTTTTAAAAATATCCTGCTGAAAGAGAACCGAAGTGTTCCTCCCAGTCTGTGGTAAAGCAGACTTCTGAACCCGTCAACTATGAATCGTTTGCGGGACCATAATAAAGTCAACTGGCTGTGGTTTTCAGATGATCAAGCAGTCACCTGAAAACCAGCAATCGTTTTAGGCATCACCACCACTGAAGGGAAGCCCAAGAAGTGGTTGTACGAGGTGTTCTTTCACACCAAAAATGGAAGGCAACTGTGTACTAGAGCAATAGCCCCCCTCTTTTTTCAGAAATAGATGTGAGGTAGGTCAGGAGCATTGATGGACACCACCAGCACTTTCTACGAGACTGAGAAAAAATAAATGCAGCATTTAGTGCCAAAAGCCAGAATTCAAAATACACATTTCAATTGAAATATAGTGCAGTTGTTACTGACCCTTTAGGGAAACTATTTTAACACAAACACTTCCATCTCGAGGATCCCATAAGAACAGAAGTATGCTAATTTTTGTTAGTCCCCCACAAAATACTAGCAGGATGAAACTGAAGCTACTTTGCCACCCAAGCTTTAACTTTTCATTCCAGGATGGGGAATCTGTAGCACATCAGTTGTTGTTGGATTCCAGTTTCCATCAGCCTCAACCAGCATGGCCAACGACCAGGGATGATGGGCGTTGTAGTCCAGGAACAGCTGAAGAACAGGTTCCCCACAAAGACTTTAGTTCCACCTCCTTCCAATACTTTCTACCTCTGTGTTTGGTGCTACAAACAACATTTGGAAGCATGGTTCCTATTAACACAGTAGTTGCTGAACTACAACTCCCATCAGCCCCAGCCAGCATGGCCAATGTGCAGGGATGGTGACCTTTGTAGTTCAGTAACACCTGGAGACCCAAAGGTTCCCAACTCCTGTATTTATGTCAAAAGGACACTGCCGGCTGTTTTTGTTCTTTGAAGGCTATAAAGGATAACTTCCCCTAGTTCTTCTTAAAGAAGCTGAATTTAGAGAACTTAGTTTTTTTCTTTAAAAAAAAAAAAGGAAGGTGGGAGTCAAGAATGCCAAATTGTTAACAGGGAACATTTAGTATAGCGGCTAGCAATAAGCAGCAATCGTGTTGGCTATTGGGACTTTCTGGTGCTGATCAAGGAATGTTTCAAGTATTAATAGCTGTGTTCCTTCTCATTCTACCCAGTACCAAGTAGCTTTACTGAGGTTTAGCTAGCCTAAATAGAGGGCATCTGTGCAAAAGTCGCAATCTTCTTAAAAAAAATTAAAAATCATATTTCTAAGGGTTTCAGGCTCAGTTATTTAAACTGTTAAAAACAGGTGTTTTTGTGTGTGTGCTTTTAGCATTCTTCAACAACTGTTTCAATCAAGGAATACAACTTTTTCTTAATCAGACGAAACCCAGGACTCAGGATAAGAGTACGTTTGATGCCGGAAGTGAAGCAAGCTCTGGGGAAGAAATCCCTGAAACTCGGCCACGAACAGCAGTCCTGTTTGAACACCAGCGTCAGTTCAAAAGTAGGAACGACAGTGGGGTCATAGACAATCTTATCCAGCTTTTTACACACATTCCCTGTTTCTAAGTTGACGTGAATGACACACCCCCTTAAGCCACAAGGCTCAGTGGAAGAGAGACGCAAGACGTCTTGGGCTATCCTCCTGGTGAGCTTCTCAGGGACTAGAACCTTAGAGCAACGCAGTTTAGTCTGTTTTGATTTGCACAGGCAGCTCTCCAGCATTCTAACTAGACTCTGACATTTCTGTTCCTCAAACACCATCTCATTAAAGTTGGGTTCGGGCACTACATAATCCCAGTAGTCAAAATCTGTAAAGGATAGGAGAAGAGGAAAGAGATTCTCAGTTACCAGGCAAGAAGCCAGCCAGCCACCACCTGCAGTATCAAATAATTACAGCAAGCCAAGATTTCACATATTATATATAGTGTGTTTGTTGTCCCCCCAAGCTAATGTAAAATAGCAGCTAGGTCTACTGTATCTGCTGCCAACAAGCAACCCCACTTTGACTTCATGCAGAAATAAACAGTTTATCAAATTGCCTTTCCCTTGACAAAGTGGTTACAACAGAAGAGTCATGAAGTGCACTGCAATCAGGATATGGCCCTTTCGCCACTAACAAACATTTGATTATTTACTAAAAAGGAACAGAAGAAGATGTTAGTAGAAAAACACACAGAGATGACATACAAGACTCCTAAGCAAGCGACCCAATCATGCTTTTCTTAATAGATTACATTTGGGCAGGCTGTCAGAAGCTGAGCCAAATTGCTTCACACACACACACACGCCCCAAAGAGAAGCAACTTGTTTACCTCACTAAATTAAACGTTGGAGGAAAGTTTTCACCACATCTTTTTATGTGGCAAAGAGAATAGCAAGCAAAACTGTAAGGCTGCAATCAATTTGAATTAATGTTTTGCTGAGTTCAGTTGGATGAAAAGTTATTTCTCACCTATAGGAAAGCTTCAGTTTTGCTAAAAGGTATATGTCAATACATTGCTAATATTTATGTGCAAAATTTGGGGATGCAAGCTTCAGTTGCTATATCCGGTCACAAAGCTGGTGAGGAGGTGGTTTAGTTTTCATCAGTAAACATGCTTGTTTTTCTTGGGGCTATTTTGATTGTGGCAGGATAGTTTTAAAAGGGGATGGAACTTTTAGAAATATTTCAGGTAGTGTTGCAAGAAAGGGCTGAGTGGTAGCTCTTTTACTTCCAATAAGTGCTTAGCCTGCAGATGTCAAATATAACACAGATACTAATCATCTGGAAACTATTGAATTAGTTTGATAGCTCTGCTAAAATCACAACCATTTATTTAGTCCTTATTCATTTTGACTTTCATATTAGGAATCATACTGATAAAGATAGTGCTTAGAAAATGAATTTCATGGCATTATTATTTTGGTAAGCAATAACTTCTCCAGTCCTTGGGTTAAAGGTTCTCTGCAAAATTTTGTGTAGTTTTCTTTTGGTAGAACACATTCCAAGGATCAGCCCTAAAAAAATCAAAGTTGATACCCAACTGGTGTAAAAAAAAAAGAAAGGTATGATTTTTCACCATAGTTGGTGAACACAGCCATGTTGCTGGTTTGCAAATGTCGCCTATTGGTTGTGGTTAGTGTTCAGAACAGTTTATATGGTGAACTCTCCTGGATCAGTCCAATGGTCCATGTAGTACAGCATCATGTCTCCTACAGTGGACAACCAGATGCTTTGGGAAGTCTACAAACAAGCTGGGTGGATCAGGGGAATGCTGTGGTCATAGTGTATCTTGAATTCAGTAAGGCTTTTGACAAAGTCTTTTGCAAATTCTTGCAAAGAAGCTGGTAAAATGTGGGATGAGTAAGGTGGATTTGTAGCTGGTTGGCTGACCAAAGTGCTCACTAATGGTTCCTCATCATTCTGGAAAAAGAGGCAAGTGGGGTACCTCATGGTTCTGTCCTGGGCCTGTTGTTGTTCAAAGTCTTTATAAATGACTCGGATGAAGGAAATGAGGGGATGCTCATCAAATGTGCAGGTGCCAAAGTGCCACAGAAGACAGAATTGGCATTAAAGAGGACCTTAACAGATTGAATACTTGGGCCCCAACTTTCAACAGGGAGAAATATAAGGTTCTGTACTTATGCAGGAAGAACCAGATGTACAAATATAAGATGTAGGACACCAGGCTTACCAGTAGTACATGTGAGAAGGATTGAGGGATCTTAGTAGACCACAAGCTTAACATGAGTCAACAGTGTGATGCAGCAGCAAAAAGGGCAATGCTGTTCTAGGCTGCATCAACAGAAGCATGGTGTCCCAATCAAGGAAAGTAATAGTACCACTTTATATTGTCTTGGTCAGACCACACCTGGAGTACTGTGTCTAGTTCTAGTTTAAGAAGGATATTGACAAGCTGGAACGTGCATAGAGGAGGGCATCAAGGTCTGGACACCAAGAATGGTTGAAGGAGCTGGGTATGTTTAGCCTGTAAAAGAAGAGACTGAAAGGAGATAGGATAGTCATCTTCAAACATCTCAAAGATTGTCACATGGAAGATGGAGCAAGCTTGTTTTCTCCTGCTCCGGAGGGTAGGATCTGAACCAATGAATTCAAATTTCAAGAAAAGAGATTCTGACTAAACATCAGGCAGAAGCTTCTGATGGTAAGAGCTCTTTGACAGTGGAACAGACTCCTTAGAAAGGTGGTGGACTCTCCTTCCTTGGAGGTTTTTAAGCAGAGGTTGGACGACCATCTGTCTGTCTTTAGTTGAGATTCCTGCATTGCAGAGGATTGGACTAAATGATCCTCAGGGTCCCTTTCAACTCTACAATTTTATGATTCTAAGCAGTACATGAGCACAATGAGTCACTAGTATTGCTCCTCAGCCAGTGACTATTATTTAGGGGATATAACCATCATTGTAGTAATCACAGATAGCCTTATTCTCCATGAATTTATCAAATTCCATTTCACAGCCATCTTGTGCTAGCAAATTCCATTGTGTAACCATGCCCTGGGGGGGGGGGGAAGTACTTCTTGTCTGTTTCAGATTCATGAGATGACCAGAAGTTCTAGCATTAAGAGAGAAAAATCACTAAAGGCATTGAAAGCAACCTATTGAAACAAAATTAACAAGTCCATCAGTCCTTTGTGGATACTATTTTTCTTCAAAGTTGTCACAAGGCTATAGCTCAGTGGTAGAGCATCTGTTTTGCATACAGAAGGCCACAGGTTTGAGCCCCAGCAACTCCAGATAGGGAATCTCCAGTCAGTGTAGATAATACTGAACTAGCTGGACCAATGACCTCAGTATAAGGAAACTCCCCATGTTCCTATCAGGAAAACAGTATGCTTTCCCCATGAAAATGTGATTTGTCTCCAACTACTTTGTGTGGCGTGATAATTTGGGCACAGCACACATAGCATAGCGAAAAGTTGCTAAGAGTGTTGCGCAATGTTTTGCAAAGGCCTAACAATAGTACACTGTTCAGTTCTTGCAGGCTAAATGGGGGGGGGGGATTTGCTGCTTAACATGCAGTTGAATGACCAAACCTCAGGACTTTAGGAAGAGTCTGAGATCCATTCCACACATGCTACACACATTTTGCATAATTTTCCATGACGCATCCACAAACAATTTTAATTCGGTGTGAATCTCATCATCATTTTGATCTTTCTGGAAGTTGAAATTGGGTGGGGGGGAGTGTTATATCCTCCAGCTGTTCACACTGGTTGACACCAAGTTCAATTTTAGGGTTGTTCATAAACCAACAAACTGCATGAATTATTATTATTACTGTATTATTATTGCAGAAGACTTGTAGCCTAAGCACCTCTCTGTGTGTATACATGCAAGCCCAAAAGCACAATTGCAGATCTTGCATCACAGCCTAATGGAACCTGGATTGCATTCAGTTAGTAAGTGTGGCATTAACCACCAGCATATGAACCCACTCACCAGTCACGGGTGCTGGCTGAAAGCGTTGCTGTATCAGTTCAGAAATACATGCAGAATTTTTAATGTTTAAGCTGCTGGATGCCACCATTCTGAAGAACAGTTGTCCTTGCCACCAAGAGGCGGGCTTACCTCTCTGGGTTAACTGAAGGGGGGGGAAAAGCAAATATAGTTTATTGACAGGCCGTTAGACAATAAAAAGATAGCAGCACACAATTCTCAAAACTGGAAAAGCTGCAGCAGGAGAAATTTGATATGCATCAGACCACAAGGTTTTGAAGAAAACAATCTATGTGTTATTTACAATCCATTAGCAGTTTAGCAGTTTAAAGTCTGGGGGATGGGGGGGGGAAGAGAGTGAAATCAAACACTTATTTTTTTAAAGAAAACTAGAGAATTTATTTGGTGTTTTTTTTTTTAAAAAAGGGGAGAGCAGTTCACAGGCAGATAAACAGAACAGTAAACACAATCCATTAATTCAGCCCCCAAGACAAACAGCTCCTCTTACCTGCTGGAAATGTCAAGTAAAGTGCACGGAAATTTTAATTTTCTAGAAAAGCAACTTCAGCTTTCATTGGAAATCACAGTTTTTAAATAAAAAGTGTAAAAAAAAAAGAAACACGACAACAACCCACCTAGGTATACAAAAAGTAATAAATAAGTGCAAACTTCCACCCGTTGTTCCACACCACCCACCCTTCCTCTCTCTCTCTCTCGTACTACGAGAGCGACTTATATATACAGATATCTAAATATATATCTCTCTGCTACCCCCGCCCAATGCTCCACCTCCTCCGCAGGTCTTTGGGGGCAGCGGCAAACTTTGCAGGCGAATCTCTCTCGCCATTGGCGGCTGCGTGAAGGTGAGTTGCGCGTCGGGGGAAGAGGAGCAAACAGCCTCTTAACTCAGTTCACCCATGTGAAAGAAGAGATGCGGAGCGGGGGGGGGGGAGGCGAGCTGATCACTGGATTGGTCAGATTGAATGTCAGAAAGACTTGGGAGAGAGGAAAACATCGGTCACCTGACCTCTCTCTCTCTCTGTCTCTCTCACACACTTCCATCCTTCTCTGTCAATGTTTGACTCACAGCAGTGTTTTGATCCGCTTCCCTCCTTGCTTTTTTCTGCTCACCTGGTTGCGCACGTGTGCGTGTGAATGGGTGACGTGATGGGAGCAAGTGGTCGTTTCCTCTCCTCTCCTCCCCCCTCCCCGCTCCCGAAGGCCCACTTGTTTATTAGTTTATTGATGGCTACATTTAAAGCCCACCAAATCGCTCAAAGGGGCACACGTGGTTTTCACAACCAGCCCCCACAATCCCCTCCTAATCCTCATCACAACCCAGTGAGGTAGTTCAGGCTGAGAGATGGTGACTGCCCCCCCCCCCAGTGAGCTTTGTGGCCAAATGGGAATTTGAACCCAGGTCCTAGCCTGGCACACTAACTCAGGGGTAAAGACACATTTCCTTCTGGCCAACGGGATAGCTCAGTCAGAAGCGCATGAGACTCTTAATCTCAGGTTCATAGGTAAAAGCCCCATGTTGGGCAAATAGGGCTCCTTCCTTCCTTCCTTATTTGGTTTTACAAGTATAAAATTATAACAATAGAAAATACATGTTGTTGTTTAGTCGTTTAGTCGTGTCCGACTCTTCATGACCCCATGGACCAGAGCACGCCAGGCACTCCTGTCTTCCACTGCCTCCGCAGTTAGGTCAAACTCATGTTGGTAGCTTCGAGAACACTATCCAACCATCTCATCCTCTGTCATCCCCTTCTCCTTGTGCCCTCCATCTTTTCCAACATCAGGGTCTTTTCCAGGGAGTCTTCTCTTCTCATGAGGTGGCCAAAGTACTGGAGTCTCAGCTTCAGGATCTGTCCTTCCAGTGAGCACTCAGGGCTGATTTCCTTCAGAATGGAGAGGTTTGCTCTTCTTGCAGTCCATGAGACTCTCAAGAGTCCCCTCCAGCACCATAATGCAAAAGCATCAATTCTTCGACGATCAGCCTTCTTCATGGTCCAGCTTTCACTTCCATACATCACTACTGGGAAAACCATGGCTTTTACTATATGGACCTTTGTTGGCAAGGTGATGTCTCTGCTTTTTAAGACGCTGTCTAGATTTGCCATCACCTTCCTCCCAAGGAGCAGGCGTCTTTTAATTTCGTGGCTGCTGTCACCATGTGCAGTGATCATGGAGTCCAAGAAAGTAAAATCTCTCACTGCCTCCATTTCTTCCCCTTCTATTTGCCAGGAGATGATGGGACCAGTGGCCATGATCTTCGTTTTTTTGATGTTGAGCTGTATCCTTATTTAGAGATTCCTCCAAATCTCTCAACTTCCCACCTTCCCCTCCCTGGGTCCTATTGTCAACCTTTTCAACTGCATATTATTCTGTAATCCATATTTTATATCTTTCCATTTTGTCCACAGTATTTGCTACATTACAAGTATTATTGCAATCCTCCTAATGTTTTTATCTGCTTACAGTGGTCTCCCAAATACCAGTAGGTTACAATTTCCCCCCATTCTTTATTAAAGTTTTAGTCTTCTTAGTTCCTGAGCTTTCCAGTCAGTTTTGCCATTTCGGCATGTTCCAACAGCTTGGTTTGCCATTCTTCTCTGGTAGGGACTTTGTCTTCTTTCCACCTCTGGGCTAATAACATCTGTGCGGCTGTCATTGCGTACATAAAAAGTCTTTTCTGCTCCTTTGGAATATTGGTACTTACAATTCCGAATAGAAAAGCTTCTGGTTTTTAAAAATAAGTTATTCTAAACATTTTTTTCAATTCATTATATATAATTTCCCAAAATGCTTTTATTACCTTACATGTCTACTACATATGATAAAAGTGCCTTCTTTTTCTTTATATTTCCAGCAGGTATTTGTACTTGAAACAGGGTTCCTTTCAACTCTGATTCTAACATGACATTTTCCATCTTGCAACTCTATTCTGATTGCAATCTGCAAAATATGTGTGCATAATGGTATCTGGAACCCGCCTGCCCTGAGGAGACAGAATTATGCACAGGAGTGAAATAATAAGGAAAAATGCAGTATTTAAATGCTACAGGCTTTACTAAAAAAGCGACTGGGACTTAATGAATAGAGGAGGTTGCCAGTGTTACAAAGGCACTTCTCCTAACACACAATCTGTTACCACTCTTGCTCAGGGACAGAGGACATGTGTGCCCAACATGTGTCTGGACCTATTTCTGTGATCAAGGAGTAAGCAAGCTCACCAGGAGAAGCAGATGAGTTGCAAGGAGGGATTTAGTTTGGTGCCAGGGGAATCTCTTCCCCCCTGAACATCAGGCTGTTATCCTGCTCATTGAGATGGCTAAGAAAACCAGCATCTTAGCCAAATTAACAGGATCTTGCATGAGTGTTTTAGGACTTTGGATCTTGGGCAGTATCCCTATAAGGCAGGGAATTTGTAGTCCTCTGGATGTTGTCGGACCCCCAACTTCTATCAACCCCATCCAGCATGATCAATGATCAGGGACAATGGGAGTGGTGGACTAGCATCTTCTGAAACACCATAGTTTCCCTACTCCTTCTACAAGGAGAGCCAAGACTGGGTATTTGTAGATCAATGGGTACTTAATGCGGGTCTTTCCTCCAGGGTTAAAAGCAGAGGAGAGGAGGGGAAATTATTGGGAACGGGGCTAGAAAAGGAAGGGTTAAATCTCCTCTTCCTGTGCTCTGGGGTCCTGGTGAAAATCAGGGCCCTCTGTGCCTAATGATTTTATTTTTTAAAAGCCTCATGTGTTTCCAAGTGATGCACTTTGCATAAGGTGTAGTCTGACCCACAGTCTGGGGATGCCACAATATTATTTTTGTGTGTGTTTGCTGTAATAGACTACCCCGAATACTCCTGGGAAAGTACTGCTGAACTTGAATTAAGGAAGGATAATGAGGATGTATTTTCCTTCCATTCCATATGTCCTTCGGTTTACCATGTTCCTGGCCAGGCTCCTATAGTTTTAACAGTTTGCAGGTCAGGTAGAATTTTAACAGGTGAAGCTTCCACCCATAATCAGCACATTTACTGGGATGGCAATGCACTGATGCCGAAAGCTGCAATTCCTAAATAAGACTGCAATAAGCATCCTGCTGGATCAAGCCACAAACCCATCTAGTCCTGTGTTCTGTTCTCACAGTGGCCAACCAGATGGCAGTAGGAAGCCTGCAAGCAGGACCTGAGTACAGGGATGTTCTTTTTTACTTGTGACACCCAGCAACTGACCTTCAGGGGCATATTGCTTCCCACAGCGGAGGTAGTACATAGTCATCATTTGTCATTATGGCAACAGAGCAACCTCTTTGGACATGTAACTGGCAGTACTTATCTGGCCAGCTATTACTGTTGGAATTCCTGATCCATGACTGCAGTCATGGGATTTTTGTCTGTCACATGATGGTATATGTTTTGACTCCACAGAGTGGGAAGTGATGGAGACAGGATGTTTGTGTTACTGTGTTCCGTGAAGTGGGACTATTGTCCTTTGTTCTTTTTCTCTTTGCTGTCTGATGCTAGAGAGGGAGCCATGCTGCAGTGCTCCGTGTGTGTTTATATGTAAATAAAGTAGATTAGCCAAAATGCTGAGTTGCTGGGGTTCTGTTACACAACTGCGCAAACTCTGTGGATCCCTAAGTGCGCTGGTTTCGGTTGGCATCGATCGCTATGATGTTCGGGCAGAAGAAAGCCTATGAAGCTCCCGAACGATTGACCAGGAAGGAGAGAACATGCCAGTCGGGCATGTGTCTCTGCCAGGGTCCTACTCAAGTGTAGGCTGAACTCCTGACAATTACATTGACAAAGGAAATGGTCTGACTGGTTCAGTGGCCTCTTCTAAGCTTTCTTGATACAGCACCACAGGCCTTAAGGGACCCACGAATGCCATCCACACTGACCCACACAAACCTATAACAATACCTTTTTCAGCAGGTGTGAAAGAGGGCTATGTGATCCGGTGAACAGAGCATGACAAATTGTTCCTCCTCAAAATAGTGAAAGCAGGAGCAGGAGGGTCTGGGAGCAGGTGAGCTTGCTCAGAGCCGAGAAAATAATTGGGGGAGGAAGGAGGTATATGCTAGAGTGCAATTATTATCAGGCAAGTGTCCAGATAGCTCCAATTAAACTCTGCGTTGGGGAGATCTCAAGCAACTGCCTCTCCGGGAGACTGCCCATCAAACCCACCATGTAGCTGAAAGGAAGAGGTGGCTATTGTTTTTAATTTTGTTTAAAAAGTTGAGGGGGAAATGTAAAAGAACAGGGCTTGGCATCTTATGTGATTTTCTGCCTTTAAAAGTAAAGCTCTGTTAAGTGGTCAGTTCAGCAGTTCATTAATTAAAACTTCTCTGCCAGTTTGATTGCTGCCTGGAACAGCTCCAAGAGAGCCTAAGTGATTTGTTTGTGGCTCATTAGCCTGATGGATTAATGTTTGTCTGGCAACCACCTTTGCCCAACATTCTGCCATAGGAAGAAAAAAAGCAGTCGTCCCCCCAAGGCAAGCTGCTGGCTGCATTAAGTTCAGTGGGTTTGGCACAGGACTCTGCCACTCACTCCAAATATACTGTGGAACAGCTTGGCTTGGGGGGAGATCACAAAGCTTCACGTGGGGAGTGCGTGGCATGGGATGGAAGACAAATGCACCTGTACCAGCTCCCCTGGAATTAATCCTGTAGGAAGTAAAAACAATATATGGGCTCTTCTCTTTCGGGGGAATGACATTTAAAGCCCTTCCAGATATA